TACCCCACTTAAAATCGTGTCGCGATGTTTTTCTCTATTGAGATCAACCAATTTATGTATTATGTGATGTACATTTCCTACTAATTTGGTATATTCATGAAAGCTGTTTTTTGCAATATATTCCTGATATGTTGATGTGTGGCGTGGAAAACTGTTTTATTAACCTTGATTCAGAATGACTGGGAAATAAATATGAGTGTTTAAGCCGTGCTGAAACTAAAAGAACACGAAAAAAAACAGTATTCCTCCTGCAGCTAAAAAATCAAGTATATCTTCCAGTATCAATAACGACGTTAATCAATTTATTAATCCAATCTTTGATTATGTTTTGGTTCATATTTTAAAAGTTTAAGTTTTACTCAAACAAAAACTGACTAATTTAAAATTTAAATCTGACTCATTGAATATTTAAAAAAAAAAACTTAACAACTAATAGCATATTGTTTTGGAAATACCGATTATAAATGCTACTTCTAAGCAAATTCATATTTTTTTTATTTGACACGATATTTCTTTCCGTTTCTTTTCTTTCTACGTTGTAATTTTGGGAATTTAAATTTTGATTTGGAACGACGGTGTATTGGGAAGCATATGTCATCAAAACGCTGCATCTCATTAATATGAACTCCACGTTGGAATTAGTTACATCTCAGATTTAATGAACGTTGCGTAATTTGACAGATTAATGGTTTTGGAAATCGTCCAATATAATTAAAAGGTTGCATTCTTTGATTAAAACTTTTTTGAATTATTACTGAAAGGGCTTTTCTAAAACACTATGCTCGACGACGTTCCATATTCCAGTTAACGTGTGTAGCCAATGACATAGGAGTCATTTAACTCAGCGCGTCATACAAAAATGATCAGTCAAAGCGTCGAGGTGAATCGTTTGGCGTTTGTATAGTTCTACGTTATGGTGAAGTTTCTGTATTTTGATATTCATCTTATCTTACATATACATTTCATCCAACATTGTTCATCCTACGATTGTTCCATGGTAGGCATCTAACTTATGCAGAGTACCCGACTGAATTTGTTTACAAAGAACAAACGCATGAATGGAATCCTAGAAAAATAGGATTCTCGATTGGGAGAATAAATTGTTTTTTTGCCAATAATGGAGAAGATTCCTATCTTCGCACGTTTCTTACTTTTCAAAGGGGGTGTACCAATTATGAATATCTTAGAACGATCAATGACGTGCTTTTTCCTACATTTAATGATGCCTGCTATTCTTTAGGACTTCTAGATGATGACAATGAGTATATTGATGCAATTAAGGAGGCAAGTTCCTGGGGATCTGTTGTTTATCTTAGATCTCTGTTTGCTCTATTTTATTTTCCAGCTCAATGAATAGGCCTGAAAAAGTTTGGGAGCAGTGTTGGAAATTTTTATCCGACGACGTTGTTTATCGGCATAGGAAAAGAATAGGGCGTCAAGGTACGTGTTATGATAATATTTAATGTATTTTTGTTTTTTAAAATCGAAATCAATATATGTTGCTTTAGTGTTTATTTCGTTTTTTTACCCGAAATCAACAAATGTTGCTTTATTATTTATTTTGCTTTTTTTCTTTCCTTTGTACCTTTCTCTTTGCTAATTTTAACCTTTTTTTTTCCTTTATATTTTATGGTTTTTCAGATGCGCTTCTTACAGAAGAGTCTATAAAAAATATATCACTTGCTGAAATTGATATATTGCAGAACAATGGTAAACTCTAAAGCACGGACTCGTTGATTTCTTAAAAATGTGCGTGTCCGACACGGACACGCTCCGACACGTTTCGACATGCGTTCGACACGCGGTTAACATTTTGGGACACATGGTCAACTCTCTGACACGCTCCGACACGTTTTTCCGACACCTAGTCAACTTTTTCTGACACGTGGTCAACGCTTCGACACGTTTTTTTTAGTCTTCATTTTATTTTATTAACTAAAAATAAAAAAATCATTTATAAATTAATTTTTTTCTATTATGAAATTTGACATGAAAAATTAACAAAGTACGAAAAATTATTTTTGTTTATATTTATGTTATGAAATTTGAATATTTGATTGGTTATATGACTTATTATAGGCTATTATATGTGTTAAATATAAATTATATTATATATATTAAAAATATTATTTAATATCAAAACGTGTCCCAACGTGTCGAAATATGACATTTTTTAGAATTAATGTGTCGGCGCGTCGTGTCCCGTGTCCCGTGTTAGTGTCGGTGCATCATAGATGGTAAATACCTCTCTGATTACCTGTCAATGCCTCACATCACCAGTGAATTGTTGTTTGATATGCAGAATCGATTATTGGTTGATGAATTAATGTATGACATATTTTCATTGGGAGAAAGCATAAAAGACTATTGAATTCCCTCACTGATGAGCAGAGAGTTGTTTATGACAAAATCATTTCGGCAGTTAGAGCAGGTAAAGGAGGGTTATTCTTCCTATATGGATTCAGTGGTATAGGAAAAACATTTATTTGGAATACTCTTTCAGCATCTGTTAGATCAAAAGCTGAAATAGTACTTAATGTTGCTTCTAGCGGAATTGCTTCCCTTCTGCTTCCTGGAGGACGAACAACACATTTTAGATTTTGTATTCCTATTCAGATCAATGAAGATTCAACGTGTAATATAAAGCCGAATTCTACTATAGCTGAGTTGCTGTCAAAAATGAAGTTAATCATTTGGGATGAACCACCAATGGTACATAGATTTTGTTTTGAAGCACCAACTATCAATAAGAGTCAAGGACAATCTCTTTCTCATGTTGCAATTTATCTCCCTAAGTCTGTCTTCACTCATGGGCAATTATATGTGGCACTGTCCAGAGTAAAGAGCAAGCATAGATTGAAGATATTGATACTTGATGAAAATGGTTGTGTTACAAATAGTACCCTTAATATAGTTTACAAGGAAGTATTTCAAAGATTACGGTAGTATATTTCGTTCTGTCTACAAGGAGATAACATTGTTGTTTGGTACAAGTAAAGAAAAAAAAATGGCAATAGAGTACTTTTTTACTTATCTTCGTTGCCGTTTGGTTTGACGTTTGGTTTTTTTAACTGCTAATTTTTTTTTTGTCATGCAGGAATCGTATTTCATGCACAAATGGTATATTGTTAACTGCTATTTTTGAACAAACATTATTTCATGGTCATCAATATATTGATGTATTGTCATGACACTTTTTATTTGTACTCACATATTCATGTTTTTTTTTCATACTTTCATTCATAGATTATTAATCATTGATTTCTAAGAGGATGAAGGATCACAAATGTAGGTTCGACATCTTTCTTATTACCTTCATGTCAAGCACAATATTTAAATATTTTTTGTTCACATGTTACGTTATTATGTTTATTATGCTTGACTCTATTACAGATATGTCATAGAGAAACGCTATTACATGTTCTGATCATCTATGAGAAATATTGAAAGAAGCTGAGTCATACTTTGTAATTTTTGAATGACCACATGACAAGGTAAAAATGCAGTAATATACTTGCATGTGTTGCGTTAGTTTTTACGAGACAAACAAATCGATTTTTTTTTCCTCTGTGCAACGCATGAGTAATACACTAATACAAGACTAACAAATCAAGCCAAGTTTGAAATATTTTACGCAAGTCTAACGCATTTAGGCTGCTTTATCTGTTTTATTTACACTCCTATTTATAATGAATTGTTTTTTTATCTTTTAAAAATCAAATTTTAAAGGAAAAAAAGTCCAACTAATTGTAAACTCTAAAGTCCAGGAGTGGTTGGATGCACGAGAAATCCAAAACAAGCTTTGGGCCTGAAGATGCTGGGAAGCGCACTTGCTAATTGATGTGTCTTGCGTGTAGCTCCCTAATTGCGTGGAGCTCACTTGCTAAAAATTTGTGAGATGGGACAAATAAGTTGCTATTATTGTTTGGTTGCACTTTTGAATAAATATTTTTTTTTTGTTTTTCTTTTTAGAAGGAACTATTTTTAAAATTAAGGTTATTTTATATTTGAATATAATACATGAAAAATATTTTTAATTAAGAAAATTATTTGGATATTAAAATTTGAAAATACTTTATATATATAATTATTAAAAAAGAAATAAAAAAAATTATGAAAATAAAATTTGATAGTGAAAATAACAACGGTGATTATGGCAGGTGTGGTTAATTAAAGTTGGGATAAATTTAAATTTTGAGCAAAATATTTAGTTTTGATTTTTTTATAAAATTTAAAATCCAAACACTCATTTATAATTATAAATGCTTTTTTTTTTCAAAAAAAGGGGGGGGATCCATCGAAATGGACTCATTTTCAGTATGTTATGATGTCTAATAGTAATTTTGTAGTTTTGATACTATGTATTTTTTATGTAAAAAAATAATGTTTTTTTTATTAGGAACATTAACGAATGCTTATTTGAGTATATAAGAAGTAAAAAATTAAAATTTAGATGAAACTCATTTTACACTTTGTTTGAAATGAAATACGAATATACGAGAAGGGAACGAATATAATATTCTATAATTTTTAATAGAGATTATACTTATCATTATTTTAAATTTATTATTTTTATTACTTTTTTAGTTATCTTTAAATCAATTTGAAATCAAAGATTGAAAAAAAATAAAATTAACCGTGTATTGATGACCAAAATCCTAAGAAAAAAAATTTCTTATGTTGTAGAAATATTTTATGTAAGGCTCGCATCTATTAAAAATATATTATACGAAAATCGAAGAATCATTAGTAAGAAAAAATAATTGTCTTACAACACGAGAAACATTACAAAAAAATGTTTAAAAACATTAAAAAATAAAAATTGCAGAATGTTGTATTTTTGGCTTTTAAGTTTGGTGGATGAGGTTGAGGGCTTTGAACCAAGAAAACAAAGAAGTCGTGTATAAAGTGAGGAGGAACACGTGGCAAAAGAACTACCTCTGTGACTTTACTTGTAGTTTTGTTTCTGATAAACCAAAGTTGAGTTGGGAGCATAAGCAATAAGCATTGTTTGGAATGAATGTGAATGTGATAGCTTCTCCTCTCCCCTCAACTGCAACTACTAAACTTCAACATAATCACATGGCATTATGCTTCTCTCCCTTGAAACCCACCACCCCATATAATGTTTCTTTCTTAACAAACCGTTTCAAGAGCAACTCTCCAAAATGTAATGCTTTTTTTGATAACGTGACCAAAGGTTTGTTGGAGAACAGTGTTAATCTGGACCAGTTTCCTGTTCTCCAATCAGGATTTGTGCAATTTCAGAGAGTAACTGAAGACTTATCAGAGATTCAGAAGTGGGGGTTTCTCATATTTGGTGGGTTAACATGGATATACTTAACTGCAAGACCAGGTGTTCTTATTGGTGCCATTGATGCATACCTTCTGGCTCCTCTTCAACTTGGTTTGGACAGTTTATCTGGAAGGAGAAACTTGAAGGGGAGTGATTTTGTGGTTGGAGATAAGCTTGGTGAAGGGTCATTTGGTGTTGTTTATTCTGGTGTTTTTGTCCCAAAGAATGTGGATGTAGAAGAGAGGGTGCAGAAGAGGGGAAAAGGCAAGGCAATAAAGTTGGATGTGAAATCTAAGGATAAAGTCATTCTTAAAAAGGTATACTTAAGATATTCATTTATTGTAAGATTTGCTTATCCAATGCTTCCTTGGCAAATGGGTTGTTGTTGTTGTTGGAACTTGGAACTGATTTTAAGGAAAGAATGGTGATCCTGTGTTGGTTTTTGTTTTATTATTTACACTTTGTTTGAACTCAATTGAAACTCTTTGCTGAGCATGTTTCTCACCTACCTGTACTTGATTGTGCTGCAATTATTTGTCCCCCTTTGTTTTTGTTCTGCATATTTTGGGTTTGACACCAAGTGTAAATATTTTAGCTGTTAAGTGAGTTTGATATTAGCATACTCTTTTTGGCATTTGATATCATGTCTAAACTAACACTTTATTTTCTGCATTTCCATTTATGTTTTTGATTAGAATGCGTATAAAAAGTATTTTGCAGCTGACTGATGGAATGTGCAGGTTAAGGTTGGAATCCAAGGGGCTAAAGAATTTGGTGATTTTGAGGAATGGTTCAATTACAGGCTATCTAGAGCAGCACCTGAAACATGTGCTGAATTCCTTGGAAGTTTTGTAGCTGATAAAACAAATTCACAGTTCACTAAAGGTGGAAAATGGCTTGTTTGGAAGTTTGAGGTGCTCTAACTGATATTTCTACTGCATAAACAACAGCCTTAGATTACCTAAGCATGCACTACTTAACTGTGATGTGAGGAGTTTGATAACTATCTTGTATGAGTGGTGTTAAATCTTATCTTGAAAATGTAGAAAATTAAATTTATCATCTTAGTCTGGTTTATTCCTTGATTTACTTAGATTAATTTAAAGGGTTGTGCATGATGTCACAGGGAGATCGTACTCTTGCTGACTACATGAAAGATCGCAACTTTCCTTCAAACCTAGAATTTGTCATGTTTGGACGTGTCTTGCAAGATGTAGACTCTTCTAAACGAAATGCATTAATCATCAAGCAAATAATGCGCCAGATCATTAGGTCTCTTAAGAAAATTCATGATACAGGCATTGTTCACAGAGATGTAAAGCCAGCCAACTTAGTGGTTACTAAACGGGGGCAGATTAAACTCATTGATTTTGGCGCAGCAGCAGACCTGCGGATTGGAAAGAATTATGTTCCGAACCTTGCCCTTTTGGATCCTGACTACCGCCCCCCAGAATTGTATGTACTCCCAGAAGAAACACCAAGTCCTCCACCAGAGCCAATTGCTGCTTTCCTTTCACCAATCCTTTGGCAGGTTTTATTACTTATACCCTACTTATGTAGTCAAAGTTAAGGTTCTTCTGCAGGGTTATCAGTTTTAGTGAAAAGATTTGTTCTTGGAGTCAAAATATTTATCAAATTAGTTAAGGCAGTATGTTGGCTAAGATCCATTCACAGACAGTAAAATTCTTTGGTGAATTACTATCTAGGAGCTTCTACTTAGACATTTCTAATTTAGGAACATTAACTAAATGAGAGGTTAATGTGTTAATCATATATTGACTGAATTAACCACTCTCCTATTGCATAGGAAGTGCTAAAGTGGAGTTATGTGATTATTGTTGCAGTTAAACAGCCCTGATCTATTTGATATGTATTCGGCTGGGATTGTACTCCTGCAAATGGCAATACCAACCTTGAGGTCTCCTTCTGCTTTGAAGAATTTCAATTTGGAAATAAAAACCTGTGGATATGATTTGAAAAAATGGAGGGACTATACTCGTCTCAGGCCAGACTTCCAGATTCTTGATAGTGAATCTGGTAGAGGGTGGGACTTAGCAACGAAGCTTATCTCTGAGAGAGGGTCCCTTAGAAGAGGACGTTTATCTGCTGCTGCTGCTTTGAGACATCCTTATTTTCTTCTGGGTGGTGATCAGGCAGCTGCAGTTCTTTCAAAATTAAGCTTAAGTAGAAAGTGAGCTGTTTAGCAATGTGAGTATATCATCCCATTTTCTGATTCTTTCATTTTTTCTTTATTCCCTGGTCAATCTGTCAGATTTATACAGTTAAGATTGAGCAGAATTTTTTGTTTCCTCTTGCTGCTGTCCATATTGGCTTCTGAAAATTTATCTAGAGTTATCTTACTGTTTCCATGACAAGAAACTAAGCAACATAATTTTAAAATTTGGATATCAAAACTGTGCTTTCTGTTTGACTTTATTAAACAGGATAAAAGAAAATCATTAATGTGAAAAGCTTGCAATTTATATCCACTCTCTTTTGCATCACAAGGTGAGGTAAAATCTACTGGTTGATGCAGAAGGTAGTCTCTCAATTAAGAAAACAGGTTTCTATTGGCCTTGGACTACTGATAATATATATGTCAAGATGGTTTACCAATTTATTATCTGTTCTTTTGTTGCGTAAGAAACATATCACTTTTGATTGAAGCTGTCTGTGGTTAATGTTATTGCATAATATTTATTTCCATCAGGAGGAGTACATTTGAATTCAAAGGTGTCACACGGCATGCCCACATAACTTATGAATTGACAACTATCACTTATAAGATTGTGTTCCATTTTTTCTCTGTTTGGGTTTTCCTCCCGAAGTTTAAATCAAGGGGAGATTTTCTACACAAGTTCAGGCTTAGGCTTACAGTAAGCCTGAGGAAAGTTATATCCTACAAAAGGAAAAAAGTATTGCTGCTGTATAGATTTATATCTTTTGTGCAACCTATATGACAACAACTTCTAGCAGGAACTCATAATGGTTGTAAGAGCTTAATCAGTCTTCTCTCATGGTTTCTTTCTACAAGAGGTGAATTCTTGAAGATTGGCAGGACCTCTCATGTAATACCATAACTTCGGGTTCTATGGCTTGAAACAAGATATAGAGTTAAGGGAAGCTGCAATTTTTTGACCTTGTGATTTCTGGTGTCTTACTAATTAGATGAAACTTCCATCCAAATGAGATTATGCATTCAATTCCATATGGAACTTTGATTTGAGTAGTGTTCTTGTACCAAATGGTGCTTCTTATGGCTTTCAAACGTGTTATTATCAATAAAATAACAATAGTACTGCACCCCTTAAGTCCTAGCTTATTTTACCAATTGCCACACATATGTCAGAACATACAGAGTAAAGACACTATTGGCATCATTACAAACCCTCGTATTTATGTCCTCTCTTCATTTTCAAACTGAAGTTGAAACTATTGCATCCACTACGATAAAGACATGCTGTTTACATAACAATAATTGGCTACCTTCCGCATATGGTGTTAGAGTTCTTCGTGATAGAGTATTTTTTCCAACACATTTTTCTTCTTACAACCCCAGTGGCATTTCTTAGAACACAAGGAGTTGAATAGAGCAAGCCTTGTGGATTGAAGGGATATAATGCTTGACGTGGAAGGAGATTTTGACAGAACAATTGCATATCCATCATCCATGTAATCCGTTCCATCAGGAAAGAGCTGCCACAAAAGGCTTCCAGCCCCACTACCTCCTTTCTTTGTAGAGTTTAGGATGGTCTTGTACACACTGTTTATAAGGTTGTCTCTATATGTTGAATTATAGCCAGGATCTTTTGCAGATACACCAAACTCAGCAAAAATAATTGGCATTCCAAGATACTTTTCAGCATCCTCTATGTGGGCTTCCATCCAAGACTTAATAAATGGGAGATGGGTATCACCAATTGATTGTGAAATCCTTCAACCAGATAATTAATTAAGTTAGAAACTGATATTTTCATATCTAAAGGTATGGAATGTGAATGTTAGAAAATTAGAAGAACAAGAGAGTATATCTACATGCACTTGCGTATGAATATGATAAGATAAATGTTAAAAGTTTGCAGAAATGGTTGGCAGAAGTTCAGTTTTATAATAGCGTAACATACTTTAGTAAAAGTCATCATTGAACAAACTTACCAAGAGTCTGGATATATGTGAACAGAAGCAAAGTCGACGCCTAGAACCTGGTGGTTCCTGATAAAATCAGTTCCAACCTGTTGAGCATAAGAATTTGGGTTGAACTGAAATCTCTGAGGGGTCGAGGGGCCATAAAATCCTTCCAGTCCAATCTCCACTAGGTGTTTTGGATCAATGCTCTTCACATAGAATGCCATTTCTTTTATCCAATCCTACAATATATTCAGTGGAGTAAAAAATGTGATATCATAGAAAGAACTGATTAATTGAAGGCAATTGTATGCACAGGTCCATAGGACCATTATTTTTTTGGCGGAAGGCAAATGTTTTTGGAGGAGCAAACCTGTAACTTATCACCTGAGGAGTCTGAGGTGCATCGAGGTTCATTCATCAGTTCCCAAGCAAAAATTGTTGGATCTTCCTTGTAAGTGATATTTGTGAATGTATTAACCCTATTGAGCACCGTCTACACAATGAAAAGTAGTATTGGAACCAAGTTAGTTCAGAGGAATCAAAAAGAAAAAAACAGCATGTATTAATTTTGAAGCAGTTGAGCATTGCAGCACATCACAAACAAACTTCAACTCTGGTGTCCAATTCCAAGTAACGAAAGGTGGTTTTGATCTTTTGCATTGGAGGGAACTTGCCTTAACATGGGCCTTGTAGTAGCTTCTGAGAGTTTGATGTGAGAAGAAGTCATCATCAGAGGTCAAGTTAAGGCCAGCAGCATTGCCCCATTTGACATACTGTGCTTTGCCACCATAAGCCTCCCAGTTGTTAACAAGTGATAGCACGAGCCTGATTTTGTATTTCTTTGCTTCACTTACCACAAAATCCAGGGCCTGTGATTTCCAACAATAAAATGGAATTACATGAGGAATGCTATTTATAGAGTTTCACATTATCATGATTTAAAAATCAATAACCACAAGAAGCCTATGCAGGCAAACCTACTTAACTCATTTAGTATGTTGCAATCAATGGTGGCAAATAGTTGATCATGCTAGAGAAAATCAAAATCACTGACTAATATAGGATATAAAAAGCACTGAAAATAACAAGTTGTTAAGAAGCACCTTGAATACGTTTTCATCATAAACTGATGGAGATTTCTGAAGGGCTCGCCATTGGCCATCATTGAATGCCCAAGTCCTACAAACTGTCAGACCCACTGAAGATGCATGTTTGAACACCTCAGTGACCTTTCCTCTGGTGGACTCATCCGCAGCAAATACCATCAACCAGTAAGTGTTGAATCCATTAACATAGAAAGGTTGGTCATTCACCACAAACTGGTTTCCTTTTGTTTGTATCATCTGCCATTCACCTTCTTCCATTTCACTGCTTAAACCAAGAAAAGAAAAACCTTATATTTAACTGCCAAAGTTAAAGGGAACAAAACATATGGATTGTGGAACTTAAGTACTAACTAGAGGGTGAAAAAAACTTTATAATACATACCCATAACTTAAGATAGAATTTGCTACATGATTTCTTTCCCATTCTTCATATTCACTGCCATCTAATGCAGTTGAGCTTAAACTTTTAGTAAGAATCAGAAAAAGAACCAATGAAATAGCACCTAATCCGAATCTCTTGTGTGTCTCCATAGAGCTATTAACCTGGCCACGGAATCCATGCTCTTTTGGACCACATTATATATATGATCATCCTAAGTTTTCATCCAAATAAGTGGATCAAAGACAGAAGAGTAGTGTGCAAGTTCAGATCATGTTTCAACTATAGCTTTAAAGCGAAGAAAAGTTTCCATTCTGTTCTCTTCCATTGTTGAAGAATGGATAGGCAAGTCAAGGGTATGAGTAAAGTAGCATTAATGTGAGTCCTAACTCCTAAGGTACGTTCAAGTGGGTTCCACAAACCAAAATTGGGAAACCTGGATGCTTTGTTAGAATTGAAACTAGCTGTTATAGGAATCATATAATTTGAAAATCATTACAAATAAAAATACATTGGATAATCTCACCAAGTTTCTTCTATCATCCCTTATCTAAAATAACGACTTTATAATTAAACCTAGTTGTGATGTCTCCATCAGATACATTTCGTTGATGATAAGAATGTATAGAATGGAGAAAACAAAAAGAACATACCAGTGTCTGTGTGTTGTGCCCATGTAGCTGTCTCTTCTCTGCTGAAACCTAGCTGGACATGGTTGATCCTTTGTTGAGGAAAAGCAGAAAAATGGGGTGAGATGAGTTGATCAAAGCAAAATAGCAAATAAAATAAAGGGAAGGTGGGTTTGAAGTGTCACTCTTTGCATATCTAAGGGAAGCATGTCAACGTTGTTTGTGACACTTTACCAGTAACCTATGATATTTTGTAAGAACAGAAAGATATATTAATGAATGCCGCCAAAGTCATCAATTATATTTTTGGAACCATTGGTGGTGCTTATGCTAGCTAGTTGTCCTTGATATTTTGTTTGGTTGTGGACAAGAACTTGTTCACACCTGTTCTTATATATATGTTCTCATGATTAGTGTGAAATCCTTGAATCTTTTAGAATTCTTTGAGCATTTTGATTTACTAGATTAGAATTTGTACCAGATTCAGAAAATCCTTGATCAGAAGCCCCACATGCAGATTTGATCTTGTTACCTTTTGTTCATTTTGGTTAAGATCCACATTGCCTTGAAATCAGATTTTTTTTTATAATGTTTCTTCTATGCTTTTATATTATAAATGAAGGTTAATATGTGAATATCATCGTTATCGAACGACAAGAAATAATACCACTTATTTGCAAGCATTTCAGAATGAGATTATTCGATCCATTTTTTTTTTTAAGAGAAGTATATCTTGAAATTAAGTTTGCTTTATGTGGATTATGTCCACTTGCATTAAGCCCTACCTTTTAGGCCCAACATGGCTCATTAATATTTCTTTCATAAGTTTTAGGGCTTTATACCCGAGGTTCCAAAATTCGTAGAGAGAACAATTGGTGGGTTTCACGAGCATTTTTTTTTTTTTTTTAAGAAAAAAAAAAGGTTCGACACAATTTTCGAAGGGTCGCCAGAGAAGTGTTTTTTCCTAAGTTTTATGTGCAAAATAGTTTTATCAGAATTAAAAATAACTATTTATGATAACAAAGAAAGGAAAATGTTTGTTATTTCATTTTCATTTTTTTAATAGAATATGAAAACTTTGTGTTATATTAGGATTTATAACTTAGATTAAAGGTACATTTTGTTCTGGATACTATTCACTTACGCCCACTGGATGAGTCCAATCGCCTAAAGCCCATATCTAGAACTTTCTAGAGGGCACCGAGGCTCATCACTGGGACATTTTCCATCCTGCACTGCTGCCCCGGGAGCAGCTTGATGAGACAGCTCATGGGCTGACCAGCTCAAGCCCCCATGCAAGAGAGAACTCTCCTCTCTAAATACCCCTCTCACACATAGAGAGAGGGGATATCTTCTTCCCCACTCTCATATGCTGTCACTCTGCCTCTATGCAGAGCCCTCACACACACTCCCCCTTTGAGCACATACATGGGAAGCTTCACTAGTGGCTTGGTTTCTACCAAGACCACTATGGACACCCCCTATATTAAGATACTTCACCCTCCATGGAACACATCTATGTACCACTACGAGTACATTGACGCCGTCTGTGAGAAACGACAAACTCCGATTCCCATTTCTTTACCGGAAGTTCAAAGAAAGCTATGAACTCCCTTTTTCCCAGTTTAACAACCCACAAAGGTTCAGACCTAGACTCTTCTCCAATAGAAGAAGGAAAACCCAAATCTACAGAACGAAGAAGGAAAGTAAGCAACATCAACTCAAGTCTCCAACCGATCACCAGAATACCGACCAGAAAAACAAGATGAAAAGCCACCATTAACAAGGATTTCTAACCGGTCACCACGAAATGCAAGGCGACCAGATCAACTAAATCAGCAGACACTCATCATCAGGTCTTTAACATTTGCTGGTCGCCAAAGGCGCTAGAGAGAGGGCAGACCATAAAGCTCCAGGAACCACCGCCACCACCACCGGAACAAGCACTGCCGCCAACTTCTTCAATACCTTATGCACAGTCTTCAACTTCTTTTTATCAAGGTGCAGTTCGACATTAGCTTGGTGACAAATTTGACAGTTGCAATCTTGAAGTCCGGGCAAACCCAAGCAACTAAAGATGATGCAAAGATAAAACATGCAATCGGTGCATTCTCGCGGGGTCCACTCCCAAATGCCTTACCAAATACGTTTTACAAGGTACTATCTTCTTTAATGAATGTCAGACATCTATAGAAAGCTTTCCTGCAGGTCTATTGTTTTCTTTAATGAATGCTTAACACCTATGGACATGTACTATCTTCCTATTTCCCCCAATAAAATAATATATTGGGTTTAACATGCTTTAAATCAAAGTCTAAGGCTTTTCTGACTAGCCAAAGCCACGTGAAGTTCTATCCAAATTCTTCACCCAAGCTGTGGGACCCATGAGTGCTTTTATCAACAAAAAAGTTTAAAGCTTCTTTATCTTACTGGAACCCACGTGAAGTTAGTATTGATATGGTGAGACGTTGGCAAAGTAAGATTTGTAAACCCAAAATAGCCATCAACTTTTTTATCATGAGACTCGCCTCCTAGCAAAAAATTGTGAATGAAAGCCATTCATGTGGAGCCCATCAGCTCTTCTTTGCCGACCTTGGAACTCTGGCGATGATCAGTTTGAAAGAAAGAGCAAATGATGAGACATGAGTCATGACAACTCCATGCACAAGCTCGCCTCCTAAAGCCAAGAAATAGTGACCGCCCAAAGAAGCTCCCTGACCGCCCAAAGAAGCCACCACCCCTCACGCCAAGTACCAGAAAGCCAGTAGCTAGTCGCCCAAGGAAAAAGTCAACCGCCCAACATTTGTCAATCGCCAAAATATCAGCCTCCAAGAAGAAACAACCGCCCAACACATGGTCGCCAAATGAGGAGTCTCTTGTTGAGCACCATTACCTCTATTCAGAACGGTACGCCGTCGCCCTTTAGAAATCACCATGATGGTCGCCCTGATAGCCACCACCAACCACCGCCCAGAAGGTCTCAACGCCAGGGAGCATAGCAACCGCCCAAAGGTGATCCCACCCCCAAAGAAGTCGTCGCCCACCGCCCACCAGAAGGTCTCAATACTGGTCAGCACCATGGGAGCCCAAATCGATGAGCCATTCTCAGGACACAGAATTGGAGCCCAAATTATGGTCCCAGTCCACGATTCTTTCCTACTATATGATAATAAGACCATGATAATTATAATTGCCAAACAAGTAACTGCCCCATATCATTAATAATAACCGTTAATAGAACATATATAAGAAGGAAGATAAAGTTAAAAGAGGATTAAGTTCGGATCAACCATAAGCACTATCAAACTGATTTAACCTTTAATGTTCACATAGAACATTTGGCGCAGTCTGTGGGAACTGTAAAGTTTATTCCCACCATTTTTAATGGCTAGTAATAATGTTCACGAGCGAAGAGTAGAAAACGGTCCACTCTCAGCGGAGGATGAGGAAAATTCTTTCCGATCTAAAGCTAGGAGCTGTTCTCTAAACACTATTGGACAGTCATTGATCTAGTTAGCAGAAGATATCAGAAATAGACATTACAACGAAAGGAGAAGGAGGAGACACTGTTCAGAAGAAAGACCACAACATGAGAACATGCATTAGCAGGAAAATCCCAAAAGAGGTTCGCAATCTCTTGCTCCCAATTACATTCCTCTGTCTCATCCCTGAAGACCAGAGGGTACACGTCAGGAAGACAATCGTCATCATCACTCTGGGGAGTCAAGGAGTCCACCATGAAGGCCAGTTAACAGAAGTAGAGGTTGAGAAGTTATCCAGAGAAATCAAGAGCGAGTACATGTTGAATACACTCGCGAGTCAGATAGGAATGTGCAGTACTAGGAAAGAAGGGATTATGGGCACCATCAGGCTCAGCAGGACGGAGATAGGTATGACTTTTACAGACTTTAAGATGCTCGCCAAGAGAACTAGCCTAAGTTTAGTCGTCAGCAATATGCTCGACAAGAAGAAGGCCAGCGTAATATTCGAGGACGTCATTACGATTATTAAGAGGACCGACAACCAGAGGCTGGTGGGTTCCATCATGCTCGTCAAGAGGAGTACTAACACAAGGTGCCCTGACATCACCATTCTTTCATTTTCGCCGAAGCATCTTTTCCAGTATCAAGAATCGTTTCGATCTATAACAGGTAAGTTCACTCACTTTCCTATCCTCATTCTTTAGTCTCTATTTTGTAAACTTGTTGGTTGTCTTGTATTCTTCATTGTGCTGTCTGTATTTTCGCTACAATGAACCCTCAAAGTACATTAAAGGATATCTTGAATAAAAAAGACGTTTCAGATCAATTAGATACCTTCACTTTGTGAGAAAACTATGCTCATTTTACTAAGAGTTTTAGCCCTCATAGAGCCCATTTGATCCCTTTACGGGGTTTAAGACGAATTAGAATATCTTTGCGTCCTCGGTCAACTTCAGATACTACATTATCTTTTAATTCAAGTTCCGAGTTAGAGTCTAACTATGTCTTTCCTTCTAGGAACATGTCGAGGAATCGCCCTTA